TGGCTAAGGAAGGCACAATAAACTGCTTCAACTGTGACCACTACACTTTAGCATGTTGCATTTGCTTTCTGGAAACGTTCCACGAGGCTCAGAATTTAAGAAATAGTAAATTCAAAGTTACTTGAAGCATATGTATTTAGGGCTAAATGATGCAAGATTTGTTTTCCAGAAGGTTATGGCACTGGCTAACTTTTTTAGTTGTTTAGAAAAGACAATTGGAGTCTGACCTTATAAAATGTAAAAATGACAAATGGAATTTCTTAAACTTTGGGATTGAAAAACAGTTTGAAATGAAATATGTGAAGTGTGAAATAAAATATGTGAAGTATGCTATTATGTTTTCGTAAAAGTTATATTTCCATTATGAAAGTATGTTCATGTCTTATGTATACATACATGCATATACATGTATATACACTCAGAAAATTTGGAAAATACGGAAAAACAGGAAAAAGAAAAAAACTCTTTTAAATAGCTTCCAACTATGGATTTCAGTTATTAACAGTTCTCCCAATAAATTTTCCATGTATAGATGGTTTTTGCTATGGAAGGTTGGGAGAGGATGGGGATAGCCAAGTTGTAATCATAATGTGTATGCAGATTTATGTCTCTCCTCATTTAATATTGTAACAAAAGTATTTTCTGTGCTATTGCAGTTGTTTCTGTGCTATTGTAATTGTTTATACAATTATATATAATACTATTACATATAATTATATATAATTGTATAAATTGTTTATACAGTTATATGTAATACTATTATATATAATTATATATATAATTGTATAAACCTACTGTAATAGTATAGAAACATAGTTGCAGATTATTTATTTGAATTACATTAACAGTTTTTAAAACAATTCTTATTATCAGGTGTCTAGATTGTTTGCAGTTTCATAATATTACAAATGACTCTATGTGTATTTCTATCTATAAAGTTCCCCCCCCCTTTATTTTTAGTTATTTGCAGATTAGCTAGATTCCCAGAAATAAGATTTCTAGGGGCATTGAGAATAAACATTTCTAAGACTCTCTCTCTCTCTGTCTCTCTCTCTCACACACACACACACATGCATATAGTTAAACTACTTGTATGAGTTTACAATTCTATGTGTAAAAAGGTCCATGAAATTATATCTTCACCAACATTGGCTGTTTGCTGAAAAAAAGAACTTGGCTAATTTAAGATATAAACATTGTTTCTCATAATTTTTGCTCTACTTTCTTCTCTTGTGGGAAATGCTGGGTGAGGGACAGGCCAAATCAGAGGGTCCCATGGGAGCCAGAAACAATTTGTGGAGCTGAAGCACTATCAGGATAATAAGTTGAAAGGAAGACACTGATCTGAGGGAAGCATGTACCATGGAAGCAGTGTTTGGAGCTTCAGAGAGTGGGAGAGGCAGCATAGAGTGGCAGAGCCATGGGTCATGTGGAGGAACTTAGGGAGGGTCAGACATTGGTGTCATGTGCAGGCCTTGTGTGGGGGAAAGTATCTTCTGGAGGGAGAGGATCTCATAATATAGTCTGGAGGGAGACTTAATATTGTTCTTTACATTCTTTTATGCCACTTTAAAAATATTTGTTTTACTGTATACATATATTACTTTTCAATGAAAAGTTAGTTTATTAAAAAGGAGAAGTGAGGAAAATTATACTTCTTTAACTACTAGTGGGCTTGCATACTTTTCATATATTGTCAGTCTCTTTTAATTTCCTTTTATTTTACTGATATGCTAGAGAGTTGGGCAAAATTTTGTAGTAAGATTTTTTTAGATAATTTTCTTGTTATATTTCTAATGTATTCCTGTACCTTATCTTTTTATTAGTTGAACATTTTTATCATAAGATTAATTTAATTAAAGAATTTTTCCCCCCCCCGAAAATTTTTTTCCCTCCCTTATTAAGCAGAGATGGTTCCAAGTCTCATTTCTTCATTTGCTTAGTTTCCTCCTTTATCTCCCCAAAGACATGGACAGACTACATTGTTTCTTAATGTTTTCCATTCATTGGTATCCTCACACGTGTCTAAATTTGTGGCACTGTGGCCGGAAAACTATGGGTTTTAATAAGTGGAACCGGAATTGAGGGTGAGCTAGGCCTTGAAACTACTATTGCTCACTGTCTTTCTGAGGAAGGAAGCTCTGATAAGGAGGAACTCTGAGGATTGGTTGGGCTTGTTCAAGACTGCGGGGCCATTGATATGGGAGCCCATAGGTAGGTGGTGGAATGTATTTACGAGAGAGAAATGTGGAAAGGTCAAGGGCCAGATGAACTGGGAGCACTCCTCCTGTCAGGTGGCCTGGACAGGGGAGCCAAAGTATCCAAAATTACCACTATGCATGAGTTGGCTCATGACCACAGAGAGGCAAGTGCTAGTTCGTTGGCTCAAAACTGATATTTTAGTTAACTGATTGGAGGAAGAGTAGGAAGATTTACATTCTACACAGTCTCAATTATTGTTTACACTTGAATGTGAGCAGTTATTTAATCTCTCTAGTTAACTAGTCTTTAAAAAGAATTGGTGCGATACCTTCCCTAAACTGTTTCATAGGTGTTTTAGTGAGAATGATGAAGTTTCTATTATAAAATAGTAGTGAATTTTCTTTTGCTTTTGTTTATTGTCTTTGACTATGTTTTATCACTTTCTCTGAATGCATTTTTCATTCCTCATTTTTGGAATCCTTTTATTGTATGCTCTTTTCTCTGTTAATATGTGATGTGCCCTGTGCCTACTCTTTGTGGCCATCCCCATTTTAGATTTCTTCCTTTAAGCATTACCAAAAAGAAGTAGAAGAACTTTGTGAATAGAGAGAGAGACACTTATTTTTCTCTTTTTCATAGACGCCTGCTAATTTATGCCTCCTCCTCTTTCCCTGAAGGACCTTTGGGCATTTTTCTCTATCTCATACTTGAGAGAATGGAAAGCTCCAATGCCTTGTATTGCTAGATCTGTTTTTAAAATATGCCCTATTCTTAGGGAGTAACTAAAACTTTATATATCTTCTGTTTTCTCCCCTTCTAGGCAAAGTGGTTCAAACCACAAATTACCTAACAAGTAAAAGTGGTCATATAGCAATACTAGAGGAATTTTTATCTTGTTTAGTATAGCTAAACCATCCTTGATGGGAGTGTTTTCCAGTGAGTTTGCCTTGAATGGCTAAGGAGATCAACAAAGAAATTATGTTTTAATGGAAGGAGACTGGTTAGTATGTCTTTAACACTTCGTTTGAATCACTTGAAATGAATTCAAGTTGGTAAGGTATGTTGCCAACTTATATGTTTTCATAATTTTTTAAAACTTGTTTGGATATAGGTCTGTAACTTGCCAAATAACTAAGGAGAAATGACAGAATTTAAAAAATATAAATCAAGACAACTAAAGCTTTTTCTTTTTGCTCTAGTAGGCAGCGAGGACTGATAAGGAATACTTGACCAAGAAATGGAATATTGTATTTTATTCTTGCTTATAAATGTTTAGCAGTGCTCTCTGAAGGAAATGCATAGCAAGCTATGTTAAGATCATTTTAAGTTCTACACAATGCTGTTATATCCTATTGATGCTTTGAATTTAGTCTTGAACAGCTCAGAAGGAGTCTGGCTATTGAGGTCAACAGATTTGCCAGGGAAAACTTTGTACTTTACTTATCAAATCACTTTCATATCAAGATACCCCTCTTATTCACTGTACGATACTGAAGCTCTTACCTTTTCCTCTGTTCATTGTCTTTATTTGAACATCCTAAGACCTGTTTTTCCTATAAATGAAAGAACACTTACTGATTTCCCCATTGTCATTTAGTTCCTATAAATCAACCCACTCAGTAGAGCAAAGTAATTCCTTTAAAAAAATGCATTCCTTTACTTTTTATTTGTTTTCTTTTGATAGAAGCTATGCTTGGTTTGTCCTTAGGACAATATAAAGTAGTGTTCTCAAAGTGTGGTCTGCAGACCTCTGGGGTCCCTGAGACCATTTCAAGGGTCTGCAAAGTCAAAACTGTTTTCATAATCATATTAAGATATTATGACTTCTTTTTTACAGTGTTAATATTTGCATTTACATTGCAGAAGCAGTGGTGTGCAAAACTGATGGCTTGGCATTAACCACACCAGACATCAAGCTATACTCATAGTTATTTTATTCTCTTTTGTCACACATACTCAGTTAAAAAAACAACAACAGTTCACTTAAGAATGTCTTTGATGAAGTAATAAAAAATATGAATTTTATAAAGTCATGACCCTTGAGTACACACGCTTTCAATATTCTGTGCGACAAAATGAGAGTACACATGGAAGACTACTGCATACCTAAGTATGTTGTCTCAAGGAAAATCATGAGTGTGATTGAGTTCCAAGCTGAACTAGCTGCTTTTTTCTTGGAACCATCCTTTTTTACTTGGAGGAGTGACTGATGGATGAACTGTGGTTATTCAGATTTGCGCATTTGGCAGACATTTTCCCATGTCTCTATTTTATGCCTATCTTTTTCAGGCCTAACCGTCACCATTGTGCTTATATTTCTGTGAGGCTCTAGTGTTTACAGAGCGTTTATTTATATCTGGTATTACAGATACAGATGGTCTGTGGATCTGAGTTGAATTACTTTAGCATATAATGCTGAATTTAGGTAGAGATCGAAAAAAATTAAAATTATAAAAGAATAAGAAACAAATTAAGTCTTCCAGGGCTAAAATTATGGTCTTCTAGGATATTTAGGTTTCTTGTTTTGTTACTACCCGGCTTTACACTTCACTGTTTCTGCCTATTCATGATGGAATTCCTCCTCAATTTTTCTGCAAGGATTTTTTTAGAAGGCAGGAGAAATTGCCAATATCAAAAGATTTCTCTAACTTCATCTCTGGGTATATGGCTAACTAGGAGTAGTCTGTTCCTCTTAGATTTCTATTACTCTTTTCCTCTACATTGATGTGTGAATGTGATACTGGATTTGTATGAAATTTCAGTTTTAACTGGTCTTTTATTTGTTATGGCTTTTACAGAATCTTGCCTCCTGGAATCCTTCAAATCCTGAATGTCTCTTACTTGTGGTGAAGGAACTTGTGCAACAGTATCACCAATTCCAATGCAGCCGCCTCCGGGAGAGCTCCCGCCTCATGTTTGAATACCAGACATTACTGGAAGAGCCACAGTATGGAGAGAACATGGAAATTTATGCTGGGAAAAAAAACAACTGGGTAAGAATTTTTGAGAATGGGAAAAAAGATGACTTCATCTATAATAAAATAATCAATTCAGATGTTCATTTGAAAATCCTAGTCATTTCTTTAAATGACCATGGTCTAGGTAGCCTATATGTTTCTCATAATTTAGAGTTTAAAGAGACCTTAATGTTTGTCTAGTTCATTGTGTTTCTTAAAGATATTACCTGTGAAGTTTGTAAGATTCAGAGTCTCATCCCCAGCCCCAGATATTCAGCAGTCAGAGGTGGAGCCTGAGGGCCTGCACGTGCTACCAGTCTCCATGTCATTCTGATGTATGTGGCTTGCAGGTCACATTTTGAGACACTAACAAGTTTCCCCGTCCTTTGAATGGAAGACTTCTCCAATATCCCAGTCAGGTAAGAGAGGTCAGTAACTCTGGAATCTGCTAGCGTACATGGTGCCTTTTATATTTTCTTTTTGTAACTTAAACGATTATATGATCTTTTAAAAATTCAAGTCAGACCTTATTGCTCCTCTTCCCAGAACCTTATGTACTTCTCTTTTTTCTCTCATAGTAAAAGCCAAGTCCTTCCAGTGGTATAAAAAACTCTATATGGAGAAATGCAAATCAAAACCACAATGAGATACCGTCTCATGCCAGTTAGAATGGCGATCATTAAAAAGTCAGGAAACAACAGATACTGAAGAGCATATGGAGAAATAGGAATGCTTTTACACTGTTGATGGGAGTGTAAATTAGTTCAACCATTGTGGAAGACAACGTGGTGATTCCTCAAGGATCTAGAACCAGAAATACCTTTTGACCCAGCAATTCCATTACTGGGTATATATCCAAAGGATTATAAATCATTCTGCTATAAAGACACATGCACACGTATGTTTATTGCAGCACTATTCACAATAGCAAAGACTTGGAACCAACCCAAATGCCCATCAGTGATAGACTGGATAAAGAAAATGTGGCACATATACACCATGGAATACCATACAGCCATAAAAAGGATGAGTTCATGTCCCTTGCAGGGACATGGATGAAGCCGGAAACCATGATTCTCAGCAAACTAACACAGGAACAGAAAACAATACATGGCATGCTCTCACTGATAAGTGGGAGTTGAACAGTGAGAACACATGGACACAGGGAGAGGAACATCACACACCGATGCCTGTTGGTGGGAGGAGGCTATGGGAGGGATAGCATTAGGAGACATACCTGATACAGATGACAGGTTGATGGGTGCAGCAAACCACCGTGGCATGTGTATACCTATGTAACAAACCTGCACATTCTTCACATGTATCCCAGAACTTAAATTATATATATATGTAATTTATATTTATATATGTTGTATACATATAAATTATATATAATATACAAATTATATATATAAAAAACAGACCAAAAAAAAAGAAAAAAACAAAACTATATGATTCCCATCACTGCCATCTTCCATCCATCATTAATTTTGTCTGTTCATCTCCGACCTTTCTCTTTCAAATTCAACTCCAGCCACACTAGCACCCTGCTGTGCAGCAAGCACACCAGATATTCTCTTGCCCAAGGGTCTTTGCATAGGCTCTCTGTTGTCAGGGATGTTTCCCCCAGATATGCACATGGCTAATACTCTTCTTCCTTCAAACTTCTACTAATGTTATGTTCTCAATGATGCCCTGTTAACACCCCCAGCAGCCGTTTTGAGGTATAATTTACATATCATAAATTTACCTGTTTTAAGTGTACAGTTAAATGATTTTTAATAAGTTGGCTGATTTGAGCAACCACCACCATTATCCAGTTTTAGAATGGTTCCATCACCCCAGTGAGATCCCTCATGTCCCTTGCAGTTAATCTTGTTCCCACCTCCAGCCCTAGTCAGTCACTAAACTACTTTCTGTTTCTATAAATTTTCTTTTCTGAACATTTCTTATGATGGAGTCATACCGCTGTCTCTTATACACATCTAGATGTGTATAAGAGACAGACTTAGTACAATGTATCCAGGTTCATCCATGTTGTAGCATGTATCAGTACTTCATTTCTTTTTGTGGCTGAATAATACTCCATTGAATAGACATACCACGGTTTGTTTATCCATTTACCAATTAATGGACACTTGGGTTGTTTCCACTTTTTGACTTTTATGAATACTGCTGTAAGCATTCATGTGTGAGTATTGGTAATACCCCTTTTAAACATTGTGACTTGCACCCGTACCCTCTCCTCTATTTTTTACTTTGCTCCATGTGGCTTTTTTGCTTTTCCTTTTGGCATGCCATATAATTAATGTATTAGTTATATGTTGCTATGTAAAATAATCATTCCAAAACTTAGTAGCTTCAAACAATAACATTTATTATCATAGTTTTTGGCAGCAATCTGGGTAGGCCCTTTGCCTCAGGGTTTCTCACAGGCTATGCTTGAAGTGTTGGCTAGGGCTGTGATCATCTCAAGGCTTGACTGGAGATGGAGTCATTATAAATGCATGTGTGTGGTAGTTGGCATAGTTCAGTTCCTCATGGGTCGTCGAACTGAGGGCCTGAGCTCAGGGCTGGCTGTTGTCTGGAGGCCGCCTTCAACTGCTTGCCTCTCTACAGGGCAGTGCACAAGATTCAGAGCAAGCAAGTAGGGGAGAGCAAGAGGGAGTGTGTGAGCAAGATAGAAGTCACAATCTTTTATAACCTAATCTTGAAAGTGACAGCCCATCACTTTTGCTGTATTCTATTTGTTAGGTCCAATACCCCACCCTCCCAACACACCTACACACCCCACACACATACCTACACACACACACACACACACACACACACAGAATTACATAGGAGTATGAATACCAGAGACCACTGGGAGCCACTTAGAGGGAGCCTACCATACTTATTGATTATGTTTATTGTGTGTCTGTCCTCATTGAAATATAAAATCTCATGAGGGCAGGGATCATTGTTCACTAGCAAATCACAAACACCTGGAACAGTGTCTTCCACTTCATTGGTATTCCGTAAACGTTTTTGAATGAATGAATGAATAAACTCTCATTAAGCACAGAATAACTTTAGGTGCTCTTCTGTGCTAATTCTTTTAGGTTTCACTGTCTTTCTTAGGCTAAATAACACTCCCACTTTTGTTCTTCAGCTTTTTCTTTTACTTTTTTGGAGACAGATTCTCACTCTGTGGCCCAGGCTGGAGTGCAGTGGCGCAATCTTGGCTCATTGCAACCTCCGCCTCCTGGGTTCAACAATTCTCCTGTCTCAGCCTCCTGAGTAGCTGGGACTACAAGCGCATGCCACCACACCCGGCTAATTTTTGTAGTTTTAGTAGAGACGGAGTTTCACTGTGTTGGTCAGGCTGGTCTTGAATTCCTGACCTCAGGTGATGCACCCGCGTTGGCTTCCCAAAGTGCTGGGATTATAGACGTGAGCCACGGTGCCCGACCTCTTTGACTTTTTCTTAAAGGTTTTGATTTTAAGGTTTTACACGTGATTAATGCCTTCAAATCAGCATGACTAAAATTTTTGTTATTACAAATCATGTTGTTTGTTCAGTTCAAGGTTTTTTTCCTTTTGTAAAGTCTTGAATTTATATTTCAGTAAAAGACACATAACACTACATTTGCCATCTTTACTATTTTTAAGTGTACAGTTCAGTAGTGTTAAATATATTCACATTGCTGTGCAACAGATCTCTAGAACTTTTTCATCTTGCAGATGAACCCATGAAACACTAATTCCTCCTCCCCCCAGCACTTGGCAGGCACTTTACTATTTTCTGTTTCTATGGTTTTGACTCCTTTAGATACTTCATATGGGTAGACTCGTATATTTGATTTTTGTGACTGCTTATTTCACTTAGCATAATGTCTGAGGTTCATCAGTGTTGTAGCATGTGATAGGAATTCCTTCCTTTTTAAGGCTGTGTAGTATTCAATTGAGCGTATTTACCATATTTTACTTATCCATTCATCCATCAGTGAACATTTGGGTTGCTTCTACCTCTTGGCTATTGTGAATAATGCTACATTGAACATAGGTGTGCAACTATCTCTTTGAGATTCTGCTTTGAGTTCTTTGGGATATATACCTACAAGTAGGATTGCTAGGTTTTATACAATCCCATTTTTAATTGTTTGAGGAATTTCCATACTGTTTCTTTAACAGCTGCACTATTTTACATTCCCATCAACAGTGCATGGTTCAAGATGCAAACTATTGATTATTTTGAAACATTAATATGTTTATATGGCTAATAAGGAAAACTTTGTTGAACTTAGTTTATCCTCTATCCCCAGCATTTTCCTATTAAATAATTGACTTAATTGTCCTTACATAAATGGATGTTAGGTTAATTTGGCATGACTTCTTGGTGAACATGTGTTGTCTTTAGTGCTGACAGGCTCATCTGAAAGCAGGAATCACTGTCAAACTAACCAGTCTTTAGTTTTTAGGATTTGCCTTTGTGTCTCATTCCCCCTTTTTAATATTAATGTGAATTTGAATGTAATCCAGTTGTATGGCACCCTTTGTTACCTAATAATTTTCAAAATGTTATTCAGTGACTCAGCTAATACTTGAGGTGTAGTTCATCTAGGTGTAGAAGTTTGAATTCATTTCAGCAGATAGTTTGTTTTTATAGTATTTTTAAACTTTCTGTTTAATGTTACCGATACTCCTTTCTTTACTTACAAAACCTACTACTGCTACACTTATCTCAGTTTATTTTGATTTGATATTAAGTAGTTTGTAAACATTAGGGCAATGGTTATGGATTCAGGTGAAGTAAAGAAACTGAGAATCCTATAACAAGGCAAAGTAGACCGAAGTTAAGCTTATGGCAGACCAGGCCTAGGAAAGGCCTAGTAGAAATGGTAGCTGAGACTGTAGAAGTAAAATTATGAGTTGGAATCGGGGAGTAGGTCAAGAAACAGGGTATAAAAGTGAGTCTTGAGGGATGAACAAATTAGAGCTTGGCATGAGGGTTCAGGAGTATTAAAGGACAGCCCGCTAATGGAGGAAAAATC